CCCTCAATGAACTGTAGCTCCCCACTGCTGGCAGCACTCATGCAGTCCCAGACCATGACACTCTCACCACCGTGCTTGACTGTAGGCATGACACACTTGTCTTTGTACTCCTCACCTGGTTGCCGCACACACGCTTGACACCATCTGAACCAAATAAGTTTATCTTGGTCTCATTGGACCACAGGACATGGTTCCAGAAATCCATGTCCTTAGTCTGCTTGTCTGCAGAAAACCGTATGCTGACTTTCTTGTGCATCATCTTTAGAAGAGGCTTTCTTCTGGGACAATAGCCCTGGAGACCAATTTGATACAGTGTGTGGCTTATGGTCTGAACACTGACAGGCTGACCCCCCACCCCTTCAACCTCTGTAGCAATGCCGGCAGCACTCATACGTCTATTTCCCAAAGCCAAACTCTGGATATGACGCAGAGCATGGGCACTCAACTTCTTTGGTCAACCATGGTGAGGCCTGTTCTGAGTGGAACCTGTCCTGTTAAACCGCTGTATGGTCTTGGCCATCATGCTGCAGCTCAGTTTCAGGGTTTTGGCAATCTTCTTATAGCCTGAGAGGCCATCTTTATGTAGAGCAACAATTCATTTTTTCAGATCCTCAGATAGTTCATTACCCTGTGGTGCCATGTGGAACTTCCAGTGACTAGTCTGAGAGAATGACAGTGATACCACCTGCTCCCCCTTCACACCTGAGACTTATGACACTAACATGTCTCATGACACCAGGGAGGCAAAATGGCAATTTGGGCCCAATTTGGACATTGACACTTAGGGTGTACTTACTTTTGCTATGGGGATGTGGAGGCGCTGCGGGTTAAACCGCTGAAGCCTTTGTGCTACAAGGTCAGAAGACTTGCAAGTCGTAAGATCGAATCCATGTGACGGAGTGAGCACCCATTGCTTGTCCCAGCTCCCGCCAACCTAGCGGTTCGAAAGTATGCAAAATACAAAAATGAGAGTAGATAAACAGATACCACCTCGGTGGGTAGGTAAACGGCATTTTGTGTCTAGTCACGCTGGCTACGTGACCACGGAGGATTGTTTGTGGACAAAACACTAGCTCTATCGGTTGGAAATGGAGATGAGCACCGCTACCTAGAGTCGGACATGACTGGACAAAATGTCAAGGGGAACCTTTACCATTACCTTACCACTTTTGTTGCCTGCGGTTTAGACATTAATTGCTGTGTGTTGCATTATTTTGAGGGGACAGCACATTTACACTGTTATACTCACTGCTTTACATTGTAGCCAAGTGTCATTTCTTCAGT